TGAGAAGAATCAATCAAGGAATTGAGCTGTACATGCAATTTTTAAAAAAAAGTCAACCCTGAAAACAGATCTTAACATTTTCTAAATAAAATTAAGTAGCTGTTCATACAAATGAACCCATAACATCACTCACCCTCAAAATCAAGATGTATTGTGCAAACCCTCTTTCCCACACATGTTCTGTCCAGCAACACTCGGTTCCTTGTTTTAGAGACAACAAAATTGAAGCTCATAAAGGTCAGTCTACTGTGAGTGATGGAAGCAAAAACCTGACCAGACCTGTCCACCCCTTGTCACTATCTGTGGGCATCGAAGCTTTGTGCAAGCTGATTAAATGGACCAAGTAGAGTAGGTGCTCTGGGAAACGTTTCTACTCAATGAAATCCTATGCGACTATTAAAACTGTACAAGTGGTTCTGCTAACAAGGCCATATAAAGTTGTAATGCCACCTCTGACCGAGGACGTTCATAAGTTATCTCCTTTCGTCTTTCTCCAACAATCACATGAGGTAAACATTCCTAAAGCAGACTTGAGGGTTAAGATGACTCCACTCGGGAAAACAACAACCCCTATTTTCACAAGCATCACATCGGACATTACACCACAACTACCTGGCTTAAAGTGGACAGAGGCCCTCAAATAATTAGAACTCTCGCTTCTTAGTCTGTACTAAAGAAAACTGGGTCATAGAAGAGACATTCTGATCTCCGCTTCAAAACAGATAATTTCTCATTTGATTCACAATAGTGTTCGTTTAAACCAAGCTTGTGATACTCATTTTGTGTTTTTCTAAAATGTTTTTTAACTTTAATACATCAAGTTTCCATTAGACTTTGTCTTTACAAATGACCAGTGACTCAGGACTTACATTTTCAATCTGTCAGTAATGAAATGGTTAAACTTGCGGGTAACACCCTGGTGGATATCTCTCTCCCTCAACCACCAAAGTGGGGGGTGGAGGGGGTCACAGTCAGTTACTCCCGTTACACCAGCGTTCACTGGAACATCTGGAGGCACACAAACACTCTACCCTTCGGCCGTCAGCTTGCCACAGTCACACTAAACAGTCAGCGACTCTTCCCCAAGTACCGAGTTTAATTCCTGGCTTAGCCGCAAGGATTCAGAGAGGGATAAGCAGCCCCTCTGGCCTTCAGGTAGGTCCAATACCTTCATTTCTAGCAAAGCGAAAAGATGGGAACCTATGTTTATAAACTTTAAGGGACTGTTGATGCCACAGTAAAGCAGTATGCTGGCTACGGATGAACAGGGCATCTGGCTAGGGAAAGAAGTACTATAGATCTTGGAAGTACGGGGTGGCTTGGCCTCCAGCTACCGCAAGGATTAACTGCGATTCCTTCAGGGTATTATTATTAATCTTGGGACATAAATGATCCTCCGGCATCAGCACAGGAAGACAGGCCTAATCCTGGTTTCAAGGCCAGCAGAAATCAAATAGCTATACCTCTAACCTGATTAACTGTGCAAACAGTGTTAACTCACACACTAAGTGGTGGCAGTGCATGGGGTACTTGCTATTTTGGAGTCAGGAAACACAGGCAATGCTGATCTGTAAGATTTAGTGCTTCAGAGTAGACTATCTGTCTCTGGAGAGAAAGTCAGTTCAGACACAGGAAACTGCAAACCCAGACCTCACACCATTAGTTCTCTTCTGATAATACTCAACTATGCCCTGGCTTCAAAGTGAGTGAGTGAACATTGCCCTGCTGGGGAATGCTAGCACAGGGCTGAGGAAACTGTGCTAAGGGGATTGGCCCTGTATTCCTTCCTTTTAAAAAAGAATCTTTAATGTGTTGACTTTGAAATTTCCCTGAGTTGAAAAGCAGTCTTTTTCCTTTTTCAATCTGCCTGATATTTTTGTCTATTAAAAGAGAAACCTTCAGTGGGTTATTTTAGATCTAGCATAATTTTTAAGCAACTTTTAAAACCCTAGATGTAACTAATATAGTTACATATTAAAGCCATGGAAAAGATAATTGTCAACTCCAGTAAAAAATAGATGCACTGAAATTTCAACATCTCAGTATGTCAAAAATGCTAAAATACCCCCAATGCTCCTATTATTTAGATATATGAACCGTCTGACTAAAACAGATCATCTAAGATTTAAATGGCAAACCCTTGCCTATGTTCCAAGAGGAGACAGTGTAGCTAGGACTCCAAGTTTGCTACAAAATGGACAATCTTCCCTATGCACTGCTCAAGAAATTGCTTCTATCTAATCCATATTATTCCAAATCTCTATGACAACCTTCACATAGCACAGAAGGCTACAGTGATTTCTCTCTCTCTCTCTCTCTCTCTCTCTCTCTCTCTCTCTCTCTCTCTCTCTCTCTCTCTCTCTCTCTCCCCATCCCTCCCCTTCCTCCCTCCTTCCCTCCCTTCCTCCCTCCCTCCCTCCCCCCTCTTCCCTTGGGATCTGGAACCCACTGTCCCTGTACAACTTGTTCTATGATCCTGGATCCATTCTCCTGAGTGTTTAAAGTAAGTAAGCTTTGAACTCAGTGCTGCTCCGCCCAAATGAGGCAAAGCTCTGAAAATAATCACTCTGCATGGACAGTGTAATTGTCTATGGTTTTCACTTCCTGAATTAGGGGGTCAACCTTTTCTTTTAGTTCCTATGGGCAGAATGCTCTCAGTTGAGGGAAGATCCTCTCTTATGCATACTTGAACAGCCCAAGAATAAATTAAACATTTTCCCAGGTTATTTCACAATCAGAGCAAGTTGCTGGATCTACAAACCACCATGGCCTGAGGAAGGGGGGCTTGCTTTCATAGCTCCAGAAATAATCTGTCTCAGGCACCATTTTCTCTCTTGACTTAAGTCTATGAAAGAATATTAAAATATCATGTCTTGAGTACTCTCTCGAGTAAACTATAAGTCATAGCTGCAAGCGAATATTTGCATGTATTAATTAATTAATGACGTAAACTACAGACATGCTTCAGGGATAGATATATGTGTGTGTGTGTGTGTGTGTGTGTGTGTGTGTGTGTGTGTGTGTATGATATTACATGACCCAAGGAACATTTGCAGGAGGAACAGAAATATAGTGTCCAGTAACATTTGCTGACTAATTTCTGTGCACCAGGGACTACGCCTTATAATCGGCATGTGCTAACTTACGTCACAAAGCAATTCAATGAATAGGTTCTAATATTATCCCCATTTTCAGATAAAAGAGAGAAAATCGGTTGTCAAGGTTGATTACAAAGGAACTAGGTGGTAGAGTTGCAGATTCAGACTCACCAAGTCTAACTTTGGATCTTGCACACACCACGATGGCTTACAGAGGGAATGACAAGAACAAAATGCCCCTTGTTATTTAAACTGAGTCACCACCAATACCTGTGGCTTATAAATTTATCCGACTATTATTAGTTCAAAAGTCTATCATTGGCACCACCCCCTCTACTGCTCGGAGAACAACTTGAAGGAAGGGAGGGAGCCAAAAGAATGTTAAGAGCCAGAGGATAGAGGGGCTGTGAAAAGCTCTCTTTAAGGTATGGCACAGGCACTACAATCACGAACTCACGGTGGCTGTGGTTTCCTAGACTGGGCCTGCACAACACTGGCCCCATCAACAGCCAATTGTGGATGCGACGGGAGCTCACGAGGCCCTGCTCCATTCTGCAGCACTACTGACTACTGATAGATTTGGAGAGAGAAGGAGCCACTGCCTTCAGATATGCACCCATTCGGGAGCACTGCAAGCTTCTACAGACAGTTCCAACCCCACGGTCACACAGATGTCTCTGGTTAAATTCAGTGGGTCACAAAACAAAACAACAACAACAACAACAACAAAAGGTTTATCTCTCTACATCCACTGACCAAATCCCAACATCCTATAACCCCTTCCAAACATCTCCAGCATCATTCACGTGTGATGTCATTAGCAGCAGATAACTGAGCCCTAACAGCCTTGTTGTCTATTAGTTCAAGGACAATGGTATCTACCATTTACTGTGTTCCAGCCCTGTTCTGAGTCCTCTGCAATTCTTAAATTACTAATCATAACTAATATCAACCTATGTGGGTAAAATTACCTCATTTTACAGATGAGGAAATTGAGCCATAGAGTTAAACAGCTTGCTCAAAGTCAAGTAGTTACTAAGTGACAGCCAGGATTTGATTGCACCGGGTCCTAGTCTTGACCATTGTTTTATTCTGTTTTTTAAACAACTTACTCTAAAAAAAATAATAATAATAATCTTATTTTGTTTCAACATTTAGTGCCAAAACAGAGTGTTTCACATCTGCAAGCAGCAAGAGTACTTCATCTCTCTCTAAGGTAGGTAACAGAACAAACTTCCCAAGCTTACTCTATATGATAAGTATTTCTTAACGGCAGTACAATACGAAAAGGACCCCTTTTTGTACTCGATATAAAATTACTCAAGACTCATCTCACAGTTCGTGGGCTGGAAGTGATCTGAAACTAGGTGTTGGAGCAGGGGGGTATTTCAGGAACTGTCTCTGCTTCGCTCAAGAATCCTCAAAACAAGAAGAAAGGAAAAGCTGCTGAGCAGGAAGGGGGGCGGGGGTCTTCTAAAGTGTCCCTTGCAACCGCCTAATTACCACACTTCCGTTAGTAAGTGCAGGAGTGGGGGAAAAAATCATTTTCAAACAGCTTCTCCCCTGCGTGCCAAGTATTCTGAGACTCGTCTTTTGGTTCTGAAAGACAGTCAACTTTCCTAACTCCCTGTCCCAGCAAGCGAAGAGTCCTCAGGGTGCAATTCTGAGTCTCGCTTCAATACATCCAGAGTGGAGTCAGTAAAGACGACTCAACCATGGCTTCCCTTCAGACTGCGGTTTCCAGGCAACCACACTTTGGCCAGAAGTAAGTGTGCCTCCTGCCAGGACACCCCACTAAGAGTTCCAGGAGCTGCGGCTATTCCTGAGCACAGGTTTGCAGGAGCCCCTCCTGGTACTCTTGCCTTCCAGCGCCCCGTTGTCGGCAGGGGGGCGCTTTCTCACCTCCGTTCCCTAGCTGTCCGTCACCTTGGCGCCCATCTAGTCACTTCGCACTTTTGGAGTCCTTATCCAGTGAGCCTAAGAAGGCTCCAGTCCTGAAGCAACAAGGAGACAGACCATAGAAAACGGATTCCTGGGAAATGTAGTTCTACTGGCTCCTATGCACGGGCTCTCTAGGAAAAAAGGACTACAGTTCCCAGAAATCAAAGCGAAGCGAGTCCGCCACTAAAATATGTCCCAGCGGTTAGAATTGAATTAAGTAGGAAAGGTCTGTGACTCTTCGCTTCCTGATTTGAGGTCTTACAGTTCTAGGACAAGCATGTTAAATGGTTTTTCTCTTAAACAAGCCTTTTGCATGTGAGAAAATATAAACATAATGATGTATACCAAAAGGTATTTTAAGATTGCGTTTTATACTTCTTTCAGATAAAAGACCTAACTCACAAGCAAAAATGTCCCTGCAGATGATAACAGTGGGTCATAATATAGCCTTAATTCAACCAGGCTTCTCACTGATGAATTTTGATGGTCAAGTTTTCTTCTTTGGCCAAAAGGGCTGGCCCAAGAGATCCTGTCCTACTGGAGTCTTCCATTTTGATATAAAGCAAAATCATCTCAAACTGAAGCCTGCGGTTTTCTCTAAAGACTCCTGCTACCTTCCACCGCTTCACTACCCAGCTACTTGTTCTTACAAAGACAGCTTAGAGTCTGAAAAGCATCAATATATCATCCACGGAGGGAAAACACCAAACAATGAGCTCTCTGATAAGATTTATATCATGTCTGTTGCTTGCAAGAACAACAAAAAAGTTACTTTCCGTTGTACAGAGAAAGATTTAGTAGGAGATGTCCCCGAAGCCAGATATGGTCATTCCATTGATGTGGTGTACAGTCGAGGGAAAAGTATGGGTGTTCTCTTCGGAGGACGATCATACATGCCTTCTACCCAGAGAACCACAGAAAAATGGAATAGTGTAACTGACTGCCTGCCCCATGTTTTCTTGGTAGATTTTGAATTTGGGTGTGCTACATCATACATTCTTCCAGAACTTCAGGACGGGCTGTCTTTTCATGTTTCTATTGCCAGAAATGATACGATTTACATTTTAGGAGGACATTCACTTGCCAATAACATCCGCCCTGCCAACCTGTATAGAATAAGGGTAGATCTCCCCCTGGGAAGCCCAGCAGTAAACTGCACGGTCTTGCCAGGAGGAATCTCTGTCTCCAGTGCAATCCTCACTCAAACAAATAATGATGAATTTGTTATTGTTGGTGGTTATCAGCTGGAAAATCAAAAAAGGATGGTCTGCAACGTTGTCTCTCTAGGGAACGACACAATAGAAATTAGTGAAATGGAGACCCCCGATTGGACCCCAGATATTAAACATAGCAAAATATGGTTTGGAAGCAGCATGGGAAATGGGACTGTTTTCCTTGGCATACCAGGAGACAATAAGCAGGCCATGTCAGAAGCATTCTATTTCTATATGTTGAAATGCTCTGAAGATGATGTGAGTGAAGAGCAGAAAATCTTCACAAGCAGTCAGACATCAACAGAAGATCCTGGGGACTCCACTCCCTTTGAAGATTCAGAAGAGTTTTGTTTCAGTGCAGAAGCAACTAGTTTTGATGGTGATGATGAATTTGACACCTACAATGAAGATGACGAGGATGATGAGTCTGTAACTGGCTACTGGATAACATGCTGCCCTACTTGTGATGTGGACATCAATACTTGGGTCCCATTCTATTCAACTGAGCTCAATAAGCCTGCTATGATCTACTGTTCTCATGGAGATGGGCACTGGGTTCATGCCCAGTGCATGGATCTGGCGGAACGCACACTCATCCACTTGTCAGAAGGAAGTAACAAATATTACTGCAATGAGCATGTACAGATAGCAAGAGCATTACAAACTCCCAAAAGAAGTCTGTCCTTACAAAAACCTCCAATGAAATCGCTCCACAAAAAAGGTTCTGGGAAAGTCTTGACTCCTGCTAAGAAATCCTTTCTTAGAAGGTTGTTTGATTAGTTTAGCAAAAGCTCCTCAAATTCAGGTGCACTGACGTACATTTTAAATCATAATAGTGACATAAATGATATTTTGATTTTTTTGTTTACTGAAAAATCTCTGTGCTGTGTTTTGGTTGTATGAATTAAGTGCTAGATTTAATTCGTGTTAAATATAGTTATTTTAACATGTGTGTTTTTAACATTTTATTCAAAAATTTCTTAAATGAGAAATGTTATCTAATTTTATTCAGAATAACAGTTATAAAGTATGCATAGAACTCTTGCATTATTTTGTAACAATCTACATGTTGAATAGTAATTAGATCCCAATAAATAAACTAATGCACAAATGAATTAAATTGTTTTTGTATAATAAGTAGCTTATAGTTGGTTTAAAAAGTTAAAACAAAGATCAACTACATCCCACACTGCTGCTCTTTATAAACTTTAAGGCAGCCCTTTAAATTATACCTATGAACTGAAATACATCTATATTCCCGGCAGTAACACAAAGGAAAAATTAATCTACATCAAGCCAGGAATAATGACACATGCCTGTAATCCTGTCACTTGGGAAGTGGAGGCAGGTGAACTGTGAGTTTGATTCTGGCCTAGGCTACATTGTATCAGAAAAACTCAAAGGCAGGCCTTGATAGAAAACAGAGCACTGGTAGAACTGTCACCTACTATGGTGGTTTGAATGAAAATGGTCCCCATAAGCTCATAGGGAGTGGCACTATTAGGAAGTGTGGCCTTATTGGAGTAGGTGTGGCCTTGTTGTAGGAAGTGTGTCACTGGGGATGGGCTTTGAGGTTTCAGATGCTCAAGCCAGGTCCAGCATCATTCTCTTTTCCTGCTGCCTGTCAATCCAGATGTAGAACTCTTGGCTCTTTCTCCAGCATCATGTCTGCCTGCATGTTGTCATGCTTCCTACCATGATGACAATAGACTAAACTTCTGAATTGCAAGCCTGCCTCAGTTAAGTGTTTCTCTTTATAAGAATTACAGTGATCATGGTCTCTCTTCACAGCAATAGAAACCCTGAGACACCTACTATGCCCAAAGACCTGAATTCAATACTGTGATACATTTTCTTGAATTATCTACATGTATTTCAGAAGGGTTAAAACATATTCCAACAATAAACTTTTGTCTGAATCACTTTGGGACTCATTTTAAATCCCTTCAAAATCAATGGTTCATCCCTTTGAAATTGCTCAACTGTTGTCTCTCTTCTTCATTAATGACAGTTATCTCTGGAAACATTTAAATGTCATTCAAGGCCCTGAATATTACATTATCATTTTAAGTAAAAAGTGAAACATGAACATGAGCTTATATAATGGTTTTGGACTTTCACTCTCAGAAGGGCTCTAATGCTAAGTCCTAAATCGTTTTCAAAATAGTATAAGAAGGATATCAAGAAATATGCTATCAGTGAAAAGAAAATTTTCATATTCCATGAATGAAAACTCTTCATTTCTTGTATCAAAATCACCAAATCCCTCACCGTGGCTTGACATGATTCTTTAGTTCCTTCCCTTCCTTCCCTGAATCCTCTGTGTATTTGAGTTCCATAATTGTTCAACATCCTTTCTCAAAAAATAAAAATAAGGTGAATGGCGCCTGAGGAAAAATGACATTTGAAGTTGACCTCTGACCTCCACATACATATGCATATATGTGCACATGCTTCTGCACACACATAACCATGTACACATATGGACATACACAACTTTTTTTAATTCCAAGGTTCACATTAAACATGGAACCTGCACAAAACAACAAAACTCATCTCTAGAGAACTTGTTGTCTCACTATAGAAAGAGGCCAAGGACAGGGCAGGCAAGATATAGGAAGCACATCTGTATGTACTTGAGCTGTTTATGTAGGAAAGGCTGTCCATGCAATATTAACTCTTTTCTAATCTGGAATATGCTGATAAAATACAAAATAGGGCCAAAATATCTCAAATACTGTATCTCATATCAACCTTTGCTGAAGAATTACTGTGGCAAAGATTTTTTAAATCTAGACTAAACCATTTGAAGTGATATACAGAATGTATAGTGAGCACTCCAAAAAGAAATGGGGATCTGTGTTGTAAAGGATGACCAAATCATTTGTGACAACTTTAAGACAACTCTGTCTTAAAGACAGAGGTGGAAAGATAATTATAGAAACTGATCAATTCATCAGACTTTGACCTGACCTCAGTATAGAAATACACAGATCTTAGCTTTCAAGTAAATTAAAATATGTGTGTACATGCATGTGTGTGCTTGTGTGTGTGTGTATGTGTCTGTCTTTCTATCTGTCTGTGTACACACATGTTCCTCTGTGTTTGTGTCCACATGTGTGAGGGTGTACACCTGTGTGTGAGCATGTGTGAGTGTGTGCTTGTACGTGGAGGCCACAACCACAGGTGTCATTTTTCAGATGCCCTCCACCTTTTTGCGACAGATTTTCTGTCTGGCCTGGAACCAGCCAGGTAAGTTAGACTAGCTGACCATCCGACACTGCCTTGTCTCCACCTCCCCTCGCTGACATTTAGAGAAGATTCCAACACCCTGGCTTTTTATGTGGGTTCTGGGGATCAAACTCAGCTTCCCACTCCCTTACAAGCCAAGCACTGTAACAATCAAGCTATCACTCCAGTCTGAAATGAATTGGTTTTTTTAAGTCAGAAATACATTGTCATCATCAGGAGAGGATAGAAAGCAATAAAAGGAGAGAGGAAAATTCCATGGACAGAAGGGGAGAGAGCAGGGGAAGAAACAGCATCATGAAAAGAGGAGACTTTTGATACTAATGACCCTGCTTCATCTCGTCCCACCTAGGCTGGGCATAGTTGTCTGAGAGAGTGAGATATTAATTTGTAGGCAATGTACCACTGAAGCAAAAGGGGATGTTAAACTTGCCTCCAGTTCCTTTAAATACACACACATAACCTTTCTCATACCTGCACAGAGCCTTCTGAGCTCAATACTTTCCAAGAGCATCCCCTTGTGCCTTGCTCCAGCATGGTTTAGACTGCATCACGTGACCACCTCAGACTCTTTGATGGTTTTCTTTTACACACAGGGTATGTCCACTGGGTCCTGCATGATAAAGCTTCTGCCTGATTCTCCAGTAGTCCA